AAAGTAGGATCTTGGATTAGATGATTGCCATTGTCTTTGGCTATAATAGTTTGTGACTCAACATTTACTGAGTGATTATACTACACTAGAGCATTGTGATGGGCATACAGTAATCAACAAATCAGACATGATTTCTGTCATGGGGACATCCAGACAGACAGCATATAAATGCCAGAATGTTAGCAGCTTGAGGTCAAGTTTTCTATCATATGCCCAGCTGTATTTTCATGGCTTGTTAATACCTAGCATACTGTAAGTGTTCAATCAATATTGTGAAAGAGTAAGGGTGAACATAGGGCACAACTTAACATAGCCCAATGTGGAAATTAGGCGAAGATCCAGCCTGCACATTCAGTTGCTCTGAGACCATTATGACATTGCTGTTAACTATAGCATTGTTACCTTTTTGAAAATCTAAAGACATGGGAGTGCTATTTAGTTCTCAAACTCATAATCCTTATATACGTAGATTACTGTTTAAGAAAAAACTACTCCCATGCTTGTGCCCATCATTATTCACTTTAAAGGGCCAGTGACCTGAAGCAAAATAATTTATTGGCAGGAGACAGAAACACTGGAAAGATAATCTAGTGTAAGGAATTCAATACTAGAAATGGAATCACAGTTCTAATTTTAAAACAGGATCAGGTATTTCACAACAAAATTTTCACCTCTTTTTGACTGGCTACAAGGGTAGAAAAAATATTAAATAAGCACCAGCACAAATATGACATATATACATATGATAATTATGCATTTTGTCTCTTTCTAGAAGATTGAAACTCTCAATGGGCACATAAGGAATCTGAGCAATAATTCCATCACTGTAATTCACTAATTTATAGTTTTTGACCAATTCAATTCAATATTTTAAATTTTCTCTGAAACAAATTGTTATACACTTTATTGTCTTTTAAAAAATATGATATGCAAAGTTACAGCCCCATACATTTTAATACAGTTTCCAATCCCCTTGTAGACAAATAGTCACACTTTAGTGCCACTTAAATGAAGAATAACCATTCATCTGTAACATACAGATACAGAAGGCTCTGGATTTTCATTTTAAAATGCTTAATTACCTGAATAAAGAGAGAAATAAAATAAGGAGTCCAGGCCAAGTTCATGAGGGTTTGAAATTACTTTTCTTTTTCTAAATTAGCAACAAAGACTCAATGTTGCAAGCTGTTGTGTGGCCACAAGCCAACTGGAGAAGAAAATTTTCCAAAAGAATAAGGGGATCAAGAACTAAATTCAAATATATGAGGCAGGAACCAAAATCAAAAGGCAAAATGAGAAGGTTGTGTTTCTAGCCACAAGACAATGTAATATATTTGACAGAAAAAATCTAATCAGCAATAAAGTGCAACCTTCATTTTAAGTATCCCAATGTGGCCAGTTATGCAACCCAAAGTTATCACTGAGGATTTCTTGCTTCCAATCACTGCCAAACTTATGCTTCCAATATTTGTATTTATGAAAGTGCTCAGCATCACTAAAAGACCACACAGAACACAGTGTTACTTCATGAACTAAAATACCAAAAGTGGAATTTTTCTTATATAAATCTAAATCATCATTCTCAAGTGATTCCAGTTCAGTACTATAAGTTCCAAACTGGGCAGGAAAGGAAGCATATCAGAGAAGAAAATGGCAATAGGTTTAACCTTGAAACAAGGTGACTGTCATACAGTTCTTATAGGAATTTACTTATTATCAGATAAAGAATTTACAATATTTATTCCCTCAAGAGATATAAAATGCTGAATCAATCTGCAGTTCAAGATATTTATTTAAACCTAGAGGAGAGGATATGACTTTAACTTTTGAAAACCAAAATAGAAAAAAAAAATCAGCTCTAATGTACTTTATCTTTAGACACCAGACTTAACATTAAACAATTCAACTTAAATACTATTTCTGGTTTCCTTTCATACATTTCTGGAATTATGTGAATATATTACATGTAAATTAGTAGTTTTAAAAATGTTTATTTATCAAGAAATGCTTATAAACAGATGTACCTACTACAATTCATTTCAATATATCATCTACAGATTAATTATTCATCTATCCATGCATACATCCAGGCATCCATCTATCCTTAAAAATCCCTTCACTCCACTGATATTAGTCATCTTTTGAGTGCCTTGAAAGTATACCTCTGTCCTTGGGAAAATGCACGCATACACACAAAAAGAAAAAAATCTTGATCTCTATATTAAGCGTTCAGTTACACAGGAAGATTTTTTGTTTTGTTATGTTTCATTTTAGATCTAGTCAAGCTGCCTAAGACTTACTTTGCTGGGTGGGTATGGTTCAGCATAATCAAATCAATAAATGTGATACATAACATTAATAAATCAAAGAATAAAAACTATATGATTATCTCAATAGATGCCGAGAAAGCATTTGACAAAATACAACATCCTTTCATGATAAAAACCTTAAACAAATTAGGTACAGAAGGAACATTTTTTCAACACAATCAAGGCAATATAAGACAAACCCACAGCTAACATCATATCGAATGGGGAAAAGTTGGAAGTATTTCCACTAAGATCCAGAACCAGACAAGGATGCCCACTTTCACCACTGTTATTCACTACAGTTCTTATAGTTTAAGCCAGGGTCGTTAGGCAAGAAAAATAAATCAAAGGGACACAAATGGGAGAGGAGGAAGTCAAATTATCCCTGTTTGCAGATGACATGATTCTATATATCGGGGAACCAAAAGGCTTCACTAAGAGACTGTTGGAATTGATAAGACAGTTTTGTAAAGTTGCAGGATATAAAATCAACACACAAAAATCAGTAGCTATTGTATACACAAACAATGTCATGGCTGAGAAAGAACTTATAAGATCAGCCCCATTTACAACAGCTATAAAAAATTAAATACCTTGGAAAAAATTTAACCAAGAAGGTGAAAGAATTCTACAATGAAAATTACAAAATACTAACGAGAAAAATGGAAGACACAAAAAATGGAAAAATCTTCCATGGACTGGAAGAATTAATATCAAAATTTCCATACTACTGAAAGCAATTTACAGATTGAATGCAATCCCAAACAAAATACCGATGGCATCCTTGTCAGTTATAGAAAAAATGATGCTAAACTTCATATGGAAACACAAGAGACCCTAATAGCTAAAGCAATCTTAAACACAAAAATAACACCAGAGGCATCACAATACCAGACCTCAAATACACTTTAGAGTGGTTATAATAGAAACAGCTTGGTACTGGAAAAATATAGACATGTAGACCAATGGAACAGAATAGACGCCACAGAAATCAATCTATGCTTCTACAACCAATATTTAACAAAGGAGGTAAAATCAATTCCTGGAGAAAGGACAGTCTCTTCCACAAATGATGTTGGGGAAATTGGATTTCCACATGCAAAAGTATGAAACGAGCCCTACCTTACACTTTATATAAAAATCACCTCAAAAATAGATGAAGGATTTAAATCTATGACCTGATACCATCAAATTACCAGAGAACATTGGGAGACACTGGTATGGCAAAGACTTCTTGGAAAAGATCCCAGAAGCACAGGCAATCAAAACAAAAATAGACAAATGGGATTACATCAAGCTAAGAAGTTTCTGCATGGCAAAGGAAACACTCAACAAAATGAAGAAGCAACCAGCAAAATGGGAGAAAATATCTTATCTGCAAATTATGCAAATGACAAAGTGTTATTATCCAGAATCTGTAAAGAGCTCAAGAAACTCAACAACAAAACAAACAATCCAGTTAAGAAATGAGCAAAGGACTTGAACAGGCATTTTTCAAAAGAGGAAATTCAAATGGCCAATAGACACATGAAAAAATGCTCAAGATCACTAGCCATCAGGGAAATGCAAATCAAAGTCACAATGAAGTTTTACCTCACCCCAGATAGAATGACTCTCCTATAGAAATCAAAAAACAATAAATGCTGGAAAGGGTGTGGGGAAAAAAGGTACCCTAATTCATTGTTGGTGTGAATGTAAACTAGTACAGCCACTGTTGAAGACAGTATGGAGGTTATTCAGAAATCTGAAAATAGATCTACCATATGATCCAGCCATCCCACATGGGAATTTATCCAAGTGAAAAGAAAATCAGCATATGAAAGAGTTATCTGTACCCTCATGTTTACTTAAGCTCAATTCAAAATAGCTAAGATATATAATCAACCCAGATGTCTGTCAATTGAAAACTGGATAAAGAAATTATGGTATATGTATACCATGAGATACTACACAGTGGTTAAAAAAGAAAAATCTTGTCTTTCGCAAAAAAAGGATGCAACTGGAAACCATTATACTTAGTGAAATAAGCCAGTCACCAAAATACAAATACCATACATTTTCCCTGATCTATGGTAACTAATAGAGTACAAAAAATGCAATGTATATGAGCAAAATTGACATTTTGAGATTTGATTATTTACAGCCTTTGTCTCTACTGTTGAGGAATGGTTTTTTTCCTTTACTATTTGTTGAATTCTTTGTTTAGTGGAGGTTTAGCTTATGATTATAAAATAAATTGAAAGCATATCATTGTAAAAATTAAAAGAAAGAATAAGAAAGGAAGGAGGAGGGAGGGTGGAAGCATGGGTGTAGAGAGGGTAGGGTGGGAAGTACCACTATACTGCTAAATCTGTAAATATGAAATACATGAAATTTGTTCACCTTACATAAATTAAAAATTGAAAAAAAAAGACTTACCTTGCATATCTTGTGGGTTTTTGAATGAAATTCTTCTTGGATAAATGACATGTTTTTCTGATGTAATTCTTCTCTTGCCTACTCTACCTGGTTCAAAACATCATGAAACAAAATTTATGCTGCTAATATAAAAACAGCATATATACAAATTCATCTAGATGGTGTTACAGACAAGTCTAGAACTAACAACAATAGTTAACAAATAGGTAGATAAGTAGACAGACACATAGATACAAAGATGCACAAATAAATGAAATGCTTAAGTAAAGGATATTGTCATTTTTTCCACAAACTTATCATGTGGGTTTTCTGCTTGGGGAAATTTCTTGATGTCACGTTCCAGATGAACAATTTGTTTTTCCATTGCTGCAAGGTTGCTCTTGAGAATTTGTGCTGAAACTGAAGAACAATGTGCAAAGAATTTAGAATATTTTAGCAGGAGTTTCACAAAATAACTAAAAGACAACAGTATCAGTTAAAGTATATTTTTAATACGGAGAACAGTTCTCTGAAGTTAATTCACATTTTTCTGAATTACTGCTCATAAAAATTCTACTCTCCATGAAATAAATGAAAATGTGTAATATACTATACCAAATCATTATGCTTAATATAGAAATGTCACCATTTTAGTCAGCCATTAGTTAAAAATGAATCCATTTCTATTTAAATTTATTGATGGAGTTCCTAATATTTCATTCTTTAAAATCTAATTCGAAGATTAAAGAGAACCTAAGGTTCACAGAGATCTTATCTTAGTAGTGCATATTCTTAGCTCTATAAATGATTTAAGATCACATTATATAAAAGGGTCAAATATTTTTCTTTTGTTGACATATCCTGATTTTTATAAACCAACATCTATGGGAAAAATTCCCATCGTTAGTACCTCTCATACCCACAGAGCTGTGAAAAGGAACTGTTGATACAGAAAGAGAGTTTAGAACAAACCCCAAGGAACACATATGCACTTACACACCCACAAAGCTTCATCAGGCCCTCAAACACTATCATTAGTTGTGTTAATTACCCCTAACATTCTCTGCACTTTTCTTTTTCTCTCCTTGACAACTGATAATTTTAAGTATTGTATTCAAACTGCTCCTAAATACAAGCATACTTATCAGATCTCTGATGGTGCCTTCTTTTCAGAGGTATTTTTCTCTAAAAACATAACTATTTTATAGATTCTCCATTATCATACAACTGCCAATTATGTATGAATACACTTCCATCAGTATCAACAGCATTTTGTCAGGATTCCAGTTTAATAGACAAGGCAAGTATTGAAATTTTATAGGTAGCCTGTGACATTGGTTTTTAAACCCAGGCCTCTGAACTACTGTTCTTTTAATTAAAGACCAGGAAATAGAAAAATATTACAATATATTTTTTTAAAAAGTAAATTTTGTTTCACTCAGGGACATGTCAGTATTAAAATGAAAAAACTCAGGAGACTGACAAAATGAACCCCGTGGCAAATTTCAGCCAAACTATTCTGATACAAATTCATCACTGACATGCACACCTTTCTTACTCAAGGAGAAAAAATCACCTTAAATAAACATGGGAGTTCAAGAGCCTAAAATCAAACACCAACACTAAAGACTACATTTTTTCCTTATTAATCTGTCAGTTTAAATAGCCCTACCCAATTTAGTCTAAGAGAATTTTGCCTGGCCAAAAAGTTGCTAATCGTTCAGCATTCATTGCATGCTTTGTTTAAAGGAGTTTGCTGTGAATGAAATAATTCTCTGATTTTAACACTGAATTTTTTGTCACATTGTGTGTGTGTGTGTATGTGTATTCTCTTTAATTATTCAAAAGGTTTTTCTTCTCCACTTGCTTGACTGAAAAATGGAAGATATGAAATTGATCAACTGCTTGTGTCATTTAGATTACATGAATGTGATGGATTTCAGGAATACTATCCCCAAATACTGGACCTTGGGATTTAAAGCTGAAGGAATTGGAGGACTGATATGGATAGGAAGAACTTTGTGGTCTTCTCTGGGAGCAGGTCATAAGACCCTTATGTAAAAATTGTCTCCCTATTCCTAGAGGCAAGGAACATGCTTGTATCAGAAGACAAAGGGACAAAGAGAGGACTCTGGACAAGCAGGCTTTGCTAAGTGTCCCCTAGTCTATTATACACAGCTCGAAGTTTTTTTCATCCTATCATATTTTGCTACAACTCTACATTATTCATCAAAGCTACCACAGAAAACACTCAGGTTGAAAAGTTTCTTTGAGTTTTAATTTCCTTATGAAAGGGTCCATTGTCAAAATTTAAACACATTTGCATTTTATTCTCTCACTAATCTGTCTTTTGTTACAGGATCCCTAGTCAATGAACCTAAAATAGGTGGAAGGAATTATTTTTCTCTCAGGCAGATTACAGAAACTAGAATTCCTCTCCAAACAAGCCATAAAACTCAAAGGGGCTCCTCTCCAGCATCTCTCTTCTCCATTGTCTCTTGGAGAATCATTTCAGAGAAGTCCTACTCCAGACCTGGGAGGAAGCAATGTTAAAAAGAGAGGCCAACAGGCCTTGTTGGGTTTCCTCTCTCAGTCTATTACCGTTAGATAAAACCTTTTTGTCCAAATACATTTCTACACACCTCTCCAGACATCATTGAACCTAAGCATAAAAACAGTCAGTTTTCCATGGATCTTTGGGTCTTAACTGCTGAAGACTTCTGTGCCACATAAAACTTTGATTAAGTAAATTTGTTTGCTATGATTTTCTCTTGTGAAGCTGCCTTTTGTTATAGCAGTGTTGCCCATGACACTTATGATGAGTGAGGAATGGTATCATCACTTTCTGCCCCTATGCTATTTAATGTTAAGATATTTATCTAACTGTTTGCTTTTCCTTCAGTATTTGCAACTTGTTTATTACAGGGATATATATGTGTGTATATATATACATATACATACAATTTTAAGTTTTGTTTATATTTAAATTTACATCCATTTCTGCCACTCAAAGTACAGGTAGAGGCTAGAAACAATCATAGTGAAAGAATTTTCACATATCAATTATAACATGAGTGCAGGAGGGAAGCAGGAAGTTGAAATCTGTCTAAAATATACATAGGAGGAATTGTTTTAAGAGATGCTTAGACAAATGGGGAAGTGTGGAAGTAGAATAAGAGAAACAACTTTCTTTATTGGGTTCCTCTATTCTATTTTCCTAATGGGTTATTGGTATTTTGCCTGAACAAATGAGAATAAAACATTAGAAATATAATAATCCAGGAATTTTAGCTTATGTAAATTTATAGCTACAATAAACAAACAGTACCATTCTATAAAATGTTTTCTCTTACATTGGAGGAATTAATACTTTGAGTTAGAAGTGACATAAAAGGGGATTTGGACAAGCCTCTCAAATTTCAAAAACCCAAATTATACTGTGTCATAGTCTAAATACTTGGAAAACAGAGCCTAAAAAAGAGCTTACTTATTAAGGCCTTGTGGGAGGATGGGAGTGGGGTATAATCCCAGAGAAATAGGCATCAGGGTAAAGGGAAAAGAACAAATGCAAGGAGGTAAATTCTGGAATTTGCCACAGTTTTACAAAAAGATAACAGCTGGTTTCATTTTTTTCTTTTCTTTCTTTTTTTTTTTTTTTTTGACAGGCAGAGTGGACAGTGAGAGAGAGAGAGACAGAGAGAAAGGTCTTCCTTTTGCCGTTGGTTCACCCTAAAATGGCCACCGCGGCCAGCGCACTGCACTGATCCAATGGCAGGAGCCAGGTACTTATCCTGGTCTCCCATGGGGTGCAAGGCCCAAGTACTTGGGCCATCCTCCACTGCACTCCCTGGCCACAGCAGAGAGCCAGCTGGTTTCTTAATATCTCAGCATATCTCTTGCAGGCTGATTTCATGGACATGTGAACGTGCAGTTGCATGGGGCCTTGTACTTTAATATTTTGCTATTGTTGTTTTGAAATTCTTAAAATTTTTGCAGTGGGGTCCCATATTTTCATTTTGCCATAGGCTCCACAAATCATAGTTGGTCCTGGTTTGTAGCTGAAACAAATGTAACTTGGAAGAGTTAGTTGGAAAAAATGAGCAGTTCATTTACCTGCTGGCTACTATACATTTCTGTTTCCTTCACTGGTGAAATTCTATTTCAAGGGGTATGGCTGGAGAGCAAATGGTTTGTCCTTGGGGGTGGGAGGTGACAAAGAAGGGGGGTGCCCAGTAAATCTAGGGCGATGCATACACTAGATCTGGAACAGAGTGCTCCCTCTATCCTATGTGTCTCATACCAGTTTTAAAATTTATTTATTTATTTATCTATTTGAAAGGCACAGCATCAGAGAGACAATAAGAAGGAGATCTTTGTCCACTGATTCACTCCCCAAATGATTGCAACAACCTGGTATGGGCCAGGCTGAGGCCAGGAGCCAGGAATACATCCAAGTCTCTCATATGGGATGCAGAGGCCCAAGCACTAGGGCCATCTTCTGTTGCCTTTCCAGGTGCATTAGCAGGAATTTGGATTGGAAGTGGAGCTGCCAAAATTCAAACTGATATTTTGATATGAGATGCCAATGTTGTAAGCTGTAGCTTAACCAGCTGTTCCATAACTGGCCACCTTATTCCATTTTTGAGTTGATTATCATTAGAAATTTTTTATTTGCTTATAATCCAAATGAACCTACTCGAACTCTTTCCTGTTAGTCATAATTTTGCCTTGTGGCAACCCTGATCAAGTCTATACCCAATTGTACAGACAAGATATCAGTTACATCCTTTTAATCTACTCAGGCTAGAGATACCAAGTTCCTCTGATCAGTTTTCCTGTAGTATAAGAGTTGGCTATTACTTAAGTTCTTAAGGAAGAACTAACATTTACTAATGCTTACTATGTACTAAAAATTATTTAAAGTAACTTTATGCATTTGCTCATCTAATCCTCAAAAAAATTCCCTGAGGCATGTACTATTCTTAAGCAGGAGTATGACATGAGCAACGGGACAACTCAAGAAATTGGAAATGGAAAGCATTGTCTCTAGAACCTGGAAAGTCACAAGAGCATGTCATTTACTTAGGAAGGGTCTTCAAAAATTCATGGAAACTGTATACTATAAAACAGTATCCATGGATTTCAATTTTCTTGTCCAAAGTAAGCCTATCTTTCCATTCGATTTTCCACAAGCTTTTTGTATCTGGCTTTAGCAGAGTAGGGTGCAGCCCTAATGGTCTTGGTAAGTCTGACTGGCCTAGGTTCCTATATCAGCCATACCAATCACTAGTTGTTTAATCTTGAACCAGCGAACTAGCTCCTGTGGGCCTCTGTTTCCTGATTTGCAAAATGAAGATAGTGAAAACCTCTATTAAATGGTAGTAATTTAGGTTCAGTGATTTGGTAAGTATAAAGTATCA